AAAAGATTTTTTTTTTAAAAAAAAAAAAAAAACAGCTCGTAAGTTGACATGTCAAGGAAAAAGGTCCCTGGATCCTGTTATCCATCCTCTTGTTTTTGTAGAGTATCATTCTAGATTGAGGGAGGGGCTAAAGGAGTCCATCAAAAAGAGAATAAAGTGGAGTATCTATAAATATATTCTTGAATTATTTTGTAATTCGATAAAAAAAAATTATATTTCAAGAATGCCTTTAAAATATTAAAAAAAATATTTTAAATTAATATATTTTTAGTTTTTTTAAATTATTTTAATGTGCTAATATCAAAAATAATTTTTTAAAAATAAAAAAAAAATTCATTAACTTGTATTTTAATATAAAAAAAATATTTATAAAGTAATCATAACCACATTAATAAACAAACTCTAAATTAGAACTTTATAAAGTTTAACGTAACCTCCTATGACTTTGTTTGGTGATCTTTAATGGAGGAAGTTAAAGGAATTATCGTAATTAACTCCCTCGAGAATGTTAAAATAATGTTTAATATTATGGTAAAAATGTATGGAAAGTTATTTTTAATATTATCATATCAAAATTATTTAAAATTATTTAAAAAATAATTTTTAAATTAAAAAAATTGAAAAAAATCATAAAACATGGTTTTTATCATAAAATCAAACACCCCTAATATTAACATAAGTGGGGGTGGGGTAAGAAATTGTCAAGCAAGGAAAAGATTCTAAATGTTACATAAATTAATTTTTCTCAGTTATTTGTTTTTTTAATTTAAAAAATAAAAAAATACACGGAAAGAATAAAGAACCTAGCTTTTATTTGAAATATCACTCAATTAGATCCTCGTTGCTCATATGATTCTAGAAGGCTCAGTTTGAGAGAAATATGACATGGAACCTCCATGAAATCAACTTATTTGGAGTGGGTTTACAAGATATTTCTATCTTTACACGGAAATATAGATGAAAACAAGTTTATATTTATGTGTGAATCTTGTCAAATATAATTCTTGAATCTTTTTTTAAAAAAACTAAATTCGTTTTTGAATTTATCTTTTTATTATTTATATTTTACAAATAAGACGGATTTATAGTTTAATATTATTTTTATACTATTTATTAAATCTTAGATACTCCATTATAATTACATGAAAACAATTATTAAAGGGAAGCTTGAACCCGGTGGGAAAAAAGGTTTTTTAATAAACATGATAAAGCGCACTGAAGCAGCAAGATGTCACCCAAAGACTCCTATACGTAGATGAAGATGGGCTCGAGGACTCGGCCCATCAACTAGCAATTACCGCATCAATCAAAAATCTCAAAGCAGACCCAATTACAAAACAAGGTGGTCTTTTTACCCTACTTCAGCAAACGGGTTCGTCTCAAAAACTAAACGAGATCCAGAAACTAGTTATAAAAATTTAGTTATTATTTTTTTTATTGTTATTTTTTTAAAATAATTTATAAAAATAGGTTTTCTCTTAAATTTAATTTCATTTTAAATTTTTTATCTATTAAATTTAATTTTTATTATTTATTTTAGCTGAAATGAGTTATAAAATTGGATTTTTTTAATTTCATATTTTTTTTAATTTTTTTAATTATCAGATTTAATTTTTATTTTTTTGATAAATTTTTAAAAAATAATCAAAACATTAACAAGTAATTTTTCATATGATTTTCTATAACATAGTAAAATTCTAAAATGCTCAGATTTGGTTTTAATTTTTTTGATAAATTTTTTAAAAATAATTAAAACATTAATTTTTCAGATTATTTTCTATAAGATGGTCAAAAAGTAAAATATTTTCTCATTATTTTTTATGATATTAAAAAACATCAAATAATCTTCTTTCTAAAATTCTATTTTTTTAATAAAAAATCTAATTTTGAGTAAACAAACAGAATCTGAGTGAATATCTATTATTCAGCATATTACGAAATCAACAAAAACAAGTTGTAAAGCTGGTTTTGTTCTGTTCAAGACTGTGCATTCATTTAATTTTGAAAATTAAGAAACATGGTAAAGATTAAAAACATACATCCAAGACAAAAATTGTATAGAGACCTAAACCTTAATTAGTCGCCCAAAAGCAATCTGCTAGTTTTTAACAGACAAGCTCTTGAACAAAAGATTGTGAAGGGCACGTAGATTGCATATACCAGAATCATGGCAGCAAAGACTAGAACTTTTTGTGCGTGTAAGAGAGAGTGTATATACGATGCCGTTAATATATAATTTCAGCCTCACCATCTTCTTGAGATGTTTCCCTGAGGAATATACAAAACAAGGAGGATGAAGAAAGCGAAGAAGAGGAATTGGATAGTTAGCTTTCTCATCTCTTCGCTCAATATTTTCTTTTTCACTCGAAGATGCATCTCGAGGAGCTTGTCTACTTGTATAGATGCATCAGTACATATGCAACATTTTGAATCCTGAAAAAAAGCAACACACACTGAATAACTGAATGGCATTTCGATTTCTGACAAGGGTAAAAATTTTCGAATAATTCATACGAGAGCAAAAGCTCTAGGAAGAAACAATTACTTCCTACACAGCCTTGGAGTTGCAACTCTGCGTACTGATGTCCTCTAGCAGGATTCTCAAGCAGTCCACAGGAGCTTCAACAAAATATCACACATCCAAGTGAAGGGAACATGCATAAGAAGGCTAAGAAGCCAGTGTTGTTTTTCATGAGAGTAATAAATTTGACAACCGATATAAATTTTTTTACGAGAAACCAATACTTATCTCTTTGTAGTCACGTATATACTCATATATATTTGGATCCATGCATTAGCAGTCATAAATTGTAATAACATTAGGAGGAAACTTCAGGACGTGGACTTCACCGTGTTTACAGTTAAATTCGTTTCAGTTTTCTAGCAGGCTGTGATGCTCTGCTCTTTGATAATCAAAGGTCTATGAAGACGAACTGTGGCTTGAATGAAGAACATTCTTTATCGCGGATTTCTTTGTCACCGAGCTAGTGGGTGGGAGTTCGATCGGCAGTCTGAAAGACCTACCTGATTATTTTTTGTAGCAAGATTTGTCACTGTTTCTTTTTCAAACCGCTTTTTTCACTTCTCCTTGACTTGGGCCTGAATTAAATCATTGGAGTAATGTTCTCGCATAGCAGTGCATCTCTGCTTTCATGCCAAGTTCTTTGTAACGCGGATGCATGCCTGCCGTCCGTAGTGAATTGACCTAGCAATTAACTTGACAAAGTAGTGGAGAAGCCATCTCTGTCGAAAAGTTTACAATCAACTATATTACCATACTGTTTTGACATTTTCCTCGATTTCTGTAATTTTTATGATCACTGCACTAGAATTGGGTTCCCTTCTCTTCTTTTATTATTTAGGCTGGATTTGATGTTGGGTTAAATTGTTGAAAGATAGAAGCAAATAGTTGTGGAGGTTATGTATTATGTATTATATTTAATTTTAATTGCTATAAATCTTGCCCTTGGGAAGTTATTATCTGTTGAAATTGTCACCCTTAAACCACACAGTACAATCATAACTGGTTAGGTGAAAGTCAATGGAAAACTTATCTTAATTAGTTAGGATTAGTTTGCTACAATTTAATTTTTTTAAGGACATTTGATATATATATTTTTTGTTTTTGTTTTGAGTTTTTAATTCTATTTCCATTTCCTAAAAAAATGACAAATAATTTGATTTGACAAGACAATAAAAAACTCATTTACTGTACTTGTAAAGATTTTCGAATTAGATGTCTGTATTTTATTTTATTATTAGTATCTTTATTTTTTTCCAATTAAGTATCTGTATTTATTCTATTCAGATATCTCTATATTTGTTTTTAACAAAGTGTTTTCATCATTATTTTTTATATAATAAACTGACACTCGTAAAAAGAAACAAATTTTATATTTAGTTTTAAATGTTTGAAAATGATATGAAACAGCACGCAGTCTCGTAAAAAAAAAGAAAAAAAACCATTTTATTGTCTAAAATCAAAGTGAAGCAGCGGGCTCAGCAACAAATAGACTTGAATTTACATTAGTAAGATGACCCGGAATGGTCCAATCCAAAGTACGGGCCTAAAGCAGAGAAAACATCTAAAATCCATCATTGATCGGAGAAAATATTTTGGAATTTCAAAGAATGTTTTATTGCAGTGAATTTTTTTTAAAGTATTCTTTATTTATAAATTTATTAAAATAAAATATTTTTTATTTTTTAAATTAATTCTTCACATCAACTCACGTCAAAATGATTAAAAAAATCAAAAAATAATTTAAAGAAAGTAATTCAAAGTTTTTTTAAAATATATTTGAATCATAAAAACAGATAATAAAATAAACAGAAATGAAAGGATAATAAGGTTTAGGGGATGTTGAGTGTTTTTTAAAATTATTTTTTATTTAAAAATATATTAAATTAATTTTTTTACTTATTTTAATATAGCAATATTAAAAATAAAAAATAAATCTGAATAAAATCATTTAAATATATTTTTCAATCTAAATAAGCCATATGTGAAAAGCTTCTCAAAAAACTATGAAAAAATAAAAAAAAATAAAAATAAAAATAAATAAATATTTATTAATATAAAACTTACAATAAAAAAATTCAGCCTGTAAAAAAAATTTTAGAACATAAAAAGAATTCGGTCTGCCCGTAATAACTATTTTAAAAAATGCCCTCAAACACCCCTTGATTACTCACTGCGATTGCAATAACTGTAGGGTCAATGCAATGTCTGCTTGGTAATGGTGCCTTGCCTGGAATTGAGAGAGAGAAAATAAATAAATTAAAAGCTGGTGATTTCGGAGAAGCAACCTCTACTGCCGAGTTGCTTCGGCCGCCATTTTTCTAATATAATTCAGGCGCAGCAGGAATATAAATACAATGCAGTAGTAAATTTTATATGCATTTTAAATTCATTCAACTGCGCGTTGACTTTTTTTCCCCTCAAAACTTCCTTGATCTTTTTTTTCTCTAGTTTTGATGATCTATTGGTTTTCTAGCTAATGGAAACAGACGATTCTACAGCGATTGGGATTGATTTGGGGACAACGTATTCTTGCGTTGGGGTTTGGCGAAATGGAAGAGTTGAGATTATACCAAATGATCAAGGCAACAGAATGACGCCTTCTTGTGTTGCCTTCACTGACACGGAGCGTTTGATTGGTGAAGCTGCAAAGAACCAGGTTGTTTTCAACCCTGTCAACACCATCTTTGGTTAGTATTCTTAAGAAAAAATTACTTTGCAGTATTCTTTTTTTGATTTAGTTCATGTGATGTTCTGTATGGCTCATGTTTCTGCGTGCTAGTGTTGTACAAGAATGAAGGATTTCATAGAAAGCTCTGTTTCTTCCCTGTCAGTTTATGTTTATGCTAGAGGAAATTAAATTTTATACTGAAAGATAGTGTTGTTAAATGCAATACAGATGCAAAAAGGTTAATTGGTATGAGATTTAGTGATGTTGCTGTTCAGAGTGATATCCAGCACTGGCCGTTCAAGGTTGTTGCGGGTCCTCGTGACAAGCCCATGATTGTGGTTAATTTCAAGAGTGAAGAGAGGCAGTTTGCTGCTGAAGAGATTTCGGCAATGGTACTCCAAAAGATGCGTGAGATCGCTGAAGCTTTCATCGGTAAAAGTGTGAAGGATGCAGTGATTACTGTTCCTGCCTACTTTATTGACTCTCAACGGCAGGCCACAAAAGATGCTGGTTTGATTGCTGGTTTTAATGTCATGCGTATTATTAACGAGCCCACTGCTGCTGCCATGGCTTATGGTCTTGACATGGATACAAACGATTGTGAGAGGAATGTGCTGATCTTTGATTTAGGGGGTGGTACTTGTGATGTCTCCTTGCTTGTCATTGAAGAGCGTATAGTTGAAGTGCGGGCCACAGCTGGAGACTCTCACCTTGGAGGCGAGGACTTTGACAACAGATTGGTGAATTACTTTGTTCAGGAATTCAAAAGGAGGAAAAAGAAGGACATTAGTGGAGATCCTTCAGCTCTTAGGCGGTTGCGAACTGCTTGTGAGAGGGCCAAGAGGAGTCTCTCATCTTATGTTCAAACTAACATTGAGCTCGATTCATTGTGTGAAGGTATTGACTTTTGTTCCACCATTACTCGTGCAAGATTCGAGGAGCTGAACACGGATCTCTTTAGAAAGTGTTTGCAGCTGGTAAACAAGTGTTTGAGGGATGGTAAGATGGATAAAAACAGCATCGATGATGTTGTTCTTGTTGGTGGTTCTAGCCGGATTCCCAAGGTGCAGCTGCTATTGCAATACTTTTTCAATGGCAAAGAGCTGTGCAAGAGCATCAACCCTGATGAGGCAGTTGCCTATGGTGCTGCTGTTCAGGCTACTATCTTGAGTGGCGGAGGCAATGAGGCGGTGCAAAGCATGCTGCTTCTGGATGTTTCCCCCCTGTCCCTCGGGTTGGAAATTGCTGGTGGTGTTATGGATGTTTTGATAGGAAGGAACACCACGATTCCCACAAAAAAGGAGGGTCTGTTCTCCACCTACGCAGACAATCAGACTGCTGTCTTGATCAAGATTTATGAGGGAGAGAGAACAAGGACTAGGGAAAACAACTTACTGGGCACATTTGAGCTCTCTGGCATTGCTCCAGCACCCAAAGGTGTTCCTCGGATAAAAATAATCTCTGACATTGATGCAAATGGTATCTTGAATGTATCAGCTGAGGATGAGACCAGTGGTCAGAAGAACAGGATCACAATCACCAATGACAGGGGCAGGTGGTCCAAAAAAGAAATTCAGAAGATGGTCCACGATGCCGAAAGGTACAAGTCTGAAGATGAAAAGCACAAGAAGTGGGCCGAGGCAAAGAATGAACTGCAGATTTTTGTCCACAACACGAGAATAACAATTGGGGATGAGAAGAGAAGTTCAAAGCTGGCCACAGGTGACAAGAACAAGATTGAAGGTGCCATTGACCAGGCCATGAAGTGGCTGGATAGCAACCAACTTGCAAGGAAAGAGGATTTCGATGGCAAATTGGGGGAGCTTGAGAGCATCTGCAATCCAATCATTGCGAAGATTTATAAGAGCGGCGGTGCTTGTATGGGTACGTTAATGGAAGATGAAGTTTCTCCATCTGATGGTTATGGCATATACGAAGATGAAGAATCATCGTGTTGCGAGCCAAAACGCACAGTAGCGGGAACATAAATTTAAACTAAAGGTTCAGTAATGAAACGCCATCGTTCATTATTTTCAATTATACGCATCATTTGAATAAATAGGGATAATACTGTCAGCATCAGCCTTGTCTTCAATTCTGTTATTGTTACTGTTACAAGAAGTCTCATGTGACTCTTATAACAGATTCTAAAATTCACACTCCTATAATTATGGCACTAAATGTAACAAGAAAGGTGTGAAAAATATACAATGCAATTATCATGTTTCTCTTCTACTCCTTCTCTCTATCTTTCCTTTCCCTCAACCTTCTCCATTCCTCTATTCCTCTCGATATTCTCTTATGTTACGTGTAAAGGCTCCTGTAGCCTTAGCTCATCAGTTGGATTCCTTGGTGATTGGTTCTCTCAAAATTTACCTTGCAACAAGTGGTATTAGAGCCTCTGATCTTTAGACTTCAACTATACCGCGCTCCGCTGTGAGGGTGCGGCAATGCAGGAAACAAGATAGCGTACGACAGCTTACCCGCCCTAAACTCATACCCGAAGTTGCAGCCTTACGCCATTCTTGATGGGAGGATGGTCAAGCATAAAAATCAGGCAGCAACACGAGTTTTAGTTCGCTGAAAGACCTTGTCACCATACGAAACTACCTGGGAATTTACAGATGACCTTCTCATGAGGTACCTACAATTTTTCCTTGAGGACAAGGAAATTTTTAAAGGGGAAGGTATTGTTGCGAGCCAAAACGTCTAATAGCAGGAACATAAATTTAAACTGAAGGCTCGGTAATGAAACACCATCGTTCATTATTCTCAATTATAGGCACCGTTTAAATAAATAGGGATTACACTGCCAGCATCAACCTTGTGTTCAATTCTGTTATTGTTACTGTTACAAGAAGTCTCGTGTGACTCTTGTAACAGATTCTAGAATTCAAATAGGGATTGCCTGGCATTTTTAGCTCTCGGGAATTCCTCCAGCACCGAGGGGTGTTCCTTAACCTTTGATATTGATGCAAGAGGCATCTTGATTGTGTCAGGTGAGGATGTGATCAGTGGTCCAAAAAAGAGATTGAGAAGATGGCTCAGAAGGCTGAGAAGTACAAGGCTGAAGATGAAAAGCACAAGAACATGGTAGAGGCGAAAAATGTGTTGGATAATGCCTACAGCATCAGAAACTGCGTTGTATATAATATTATCAGTTTGAAACTGGTTGAAGATGGCAAGAACATTGAAGATGCTATTGATCAGGCGAGCGATGGGCTGAATTCGAACGACCCTGTCAAAACAGATGAGGTGGAGGACATGTTGAAGGAGCGTCAGAGTGTCAGCAATACTATCATTGCCAAGATTGATCAGGGTGCTGGCAGGTTGCTCGATGAAGTTCCTCTGTTTGTTGGCAGCGAGACAGCTCCAGCCATTGGAGAAATTAACTAGGTTTGTCGATATTTTTGAATATTATGACCAAGTATGGTACTATATTTTTCATGGATTATTTGACATCTTCCCTTTTCTACGAAACATACACATTTCCTTGGCCTTGCCACGATGTCTTCTCTTTTTCTTTCTGGAAGTACTCGAGCAGGCACCTACAACTGCAAGATGAATTTACCACATCAATCTTACATAAGTTTTGGCATCCTGCCTGGATTAAATTCAAATATGAAATGGTTCCCTTGTGTACGGAAGATATGGAGGGAGAGAGAGAGAGATTGTACACTTGATAAATAAATGTGTCAAGGCTTGCATAAATAATCGGAGAACCCGCCTAAATGCATAGTTTGCTATTGATCGAGGTTTTCCTTGTGTTCATGCACTGCTTAAAGAAGAATTGAGGCTGGCTGCGAGGCTCCAACAGTGAATCAAAATTTCTTTCTTCTTGATGTTGAGAGCTTAGACTTGTCAAATTAGCGTGCCAAGGTTGATTGAGTTCTCAATGTATTAACTACTGAATATTCTGTGTTTCCCTTTTAAATAAAAAAAATATCTTAAATTATTTTAGCTTTTATAAGTAGTTTGAAGAATATGGAATCGACATCTATATCTACAAAATTTGCACACGTAATCCGTTATCTTCAAGATACTTTGAGTGTGGTGGATGGCAGAGGTTTTCAAGTGGGAATTGGTGGGGGTCTATAAAAGCATGATTTAGGCATAAACCTTGACTCGGATTCTAGGCCATACGAAACAAGGAAATATCAGGGCTCTATGCCAAGCTTTCCTTTGATTATTGCCAGCCATTAACTTTGCAGAAAAATATGCTGGCCAAAGAAATCACATAATGTTCATATCCATAATGACATGGAAAAATAAATGGCCTGGATTGCTATCTCGGATTAAAGTTACAGTAACTTTTCTTCTTCAAACTGGAGCCACGACATTGCTTACTTCTGGGGGCATACTTGCTGGCAAAAATTGCAATAAACTGTTTTTTTTTTTTTTAATTATTGTTATTACAAAAGAGAGACTCTAACACAAGATGTTTTAGAAGAGAGGAACTCTAGCATGTGTTGTTGATATGCATGTCTTCAAGTAATATCCAATTGGCTGGGATAAGGCCACGTCACCTTGAGTTCAAGAAAGCTAATTCCAATAGTACTCGCTAAAATTTATTCATAAACCAAATTACCTTCTTAATTTAAAAAATACCAAATTTTCATCCTTAAAATAATTTAATTTTACAATGAGGTCCTTTTAGGTATGTTAGGGTTTTATCAACTTTATCTTGTTAATTTTTGTCTGTGTTGATAACTTGATATTGTGGTATAATATGTTTTTAAAAATATTTTTTTCATGAAAATATTTTAATTTTTTAAATATTAAAAATATGCTGGCCAAAGAAATCACATAACGTTCATATCCATGATGACATGGAAAAATAAATGGCCTAGATTGCTATCTTGGATTAAAGTTACAGTAACTTTTCTTCCTCAAACTATAGCCACGACATTGCTTACTTCCGGGGGCATACTTGCTGGCAAAAATTGGAATAAACTGTTTTTTTTTTAATTATTATTATTACAAAAGAGAGACTCTAACACAAGATGTTTTAGAAGACAGGAACTCTAGCATGTGTTGTTGATATGCATGTCTTCAAGTAATATCCAATTGGCTGGGATAAGGCCACGTCACCTTGAGTTCATGAAAGCTAATTCCAATAGTACTCGCTAAATTTATTCATAAACCAAATTACCTTCTTAATTTAAAAAATACCAAATTTTCATCCTTAAAATAATTTAATTTTACAATGAGGTCCTTTTAGGTATGTTAGGGTTTTATCAACTTTATCTTGTTAATTTTTGTCTGTGTTGATAACTTGATATTGTGGTATAATATGTTTTTAAACATATTTTTTACATGAAAATATTTTATTTTTTAAAATATTATTACCATGTTAAAATCATAAAAAAACACATTAACTTAATATATTTTTTTAAAAATGTAAAAATATTCTTAAAAATTATTAAAAAACAGAGGTCATTGAACTTCCAAATAATTATCTCAAAGTAAACCTTAAACACTTACAACCATAGAAACACCTATAATCATGGAATTATTTTTTAATATAATTTTTTTTAATGTTTTATGAGACCATTTGGTGGTCAGAATTAATTGAATTTGAGCGTGTTAGTGTTTGAGATTGGAATGTTTAGCTCAAGGGATATTTTGATTCAAGGAAAAAGTTCATGATGTCTTATTGCTACTACTGAGGTTCAATAGAATAGACGACATGTTGTTTAGTGTGTAAATCAAATCCAGGCTAACAATGAATGGATGGACGGTTGGTTTCCTTATA